ATCCAACTTAACTGATGGACGTGGACACAGACACTTCACAGCTACACTCAACACCTCCCTGAAAGTCTCGCAGTCTAGTGTTTCATTTGGCCAGAAATTCTGGGGGCTGGTTCCCACTGATCGCTCTGCTCATGCACACTGAGGGAACTGGTAAATTGCAGGGATCAATACTGAGGATATTATGCTCAATCTCTAGTGTTCCACAAAACTGTGGAAGCAGCCCCTGCTAGAGAGGGAAAAGTGACTTTTTCTGCTGAAATACAGTTTCTGTATTTTACTACATTCCAAACCAGAGTGTGCCAGTCCCATGAGACAGCTGGTAAGTGAATAGCATCCACTTTATAGCACATCAGCTTTACTTAAGCAAAGCTCACTCTCTCAGGAAAGATGATACAATTTTTTTGTTCAGCAGAAAAAGCAGCTACCATGAAGCAGTGAATTACATGAAAGCAGCAAGTAATTCACTGAAAGACATTTAGAACCATAGTTCAAATTTACATCTATGCCAGGCAGTCATCAAAAAAAAGAAAAGGCTCTTCTAGCAAAGAGAAGGAAAAAATACAGAATTTGTCATTGCATGATCTCATGCCACTTTGTGGACTTTGTATTCTACCAGATTAATCACAGTGGAACACATCAGCAAAGCTGATTCTAGATTGTTAAAGACAATATGGAGACAATATATTGGAGATAAAAGTCAGCCTCTTCAAACAGTTGCCTGAAACTCAAACTAATCCCCTCACTGGTATAATTTTCGATGTTGATGAAGATTATTTGTTATGCTTTTCTCTACTGCTATTTCGTCCATTCCTGTTTCCATGGCCTGGTTTGGAATAACAACCAGTTAGATTAAAAGGTCATCACTGAAGACTTTGTCTCATATTTCTGCCTTCTTCTCAAGCAGGAAACATCATAAACCTCAGAAGAGAGTGCTCTAAACACAGTTTCCCCCCCCCTAATTTCAACACACAATAATTTCAGATAAATGAGGATCTAAATACTTCTCTGGCATCCCAAGAGATATTGAAGTTTTCACATCATTTAATGACAAATAAAATAAGTTTTGCCTCAGGGTATGGAAAGCACTGAAATACTGTCTGAATATCCCTCCAGAGCAAATGAACAAAAGAAGATTCTAACATTTGGAGACCTTTATTAGTTTGCCTAAAAGTAGCAGAGTGTTTTCTGTCTCTTGATTTCTTAGGGAAAAAGGGTCCCATGCTGTCTTTCAGATAAGAAAGAGCTTTACCTGTAAAGCTGAGAACTCAACATAGCTGAATCACACAAATCTTGCATAAGAATTCACTTTTGTAAATGAAATAGCATTTATACAGCTGTTTGATGACTACAGACGAGCTCCAAATCAACAACCACTGAAGGACTTTGGACAATGAGGACACAAACTATCACTCTTATTGGATGCATCCCTGCCTCACGGAGCGACAGATAAAAGCTTTTATGTTCTGACTTCAGGCTGAGAGAAAAGAATCAAGAACATTGCCTAGCTGAGCTTTCGTCTTCATCAGGTAAGTTCATAGGCTGTTTCGGAGATCCTGTCCATTGCTGTAGCAGCCCAAAAAAAGAACTATAAGAATCTCCATGTGTGATACTGTTTTTAAAAATAATCCAAGGGTTGGCTGCATTTCAAGTGAGGAGAGCATCTTATCTTCATTGTTTCTTTGATCATTATAAACTTTAGGAAATGCTACCAAAGGAAACAAAAACCAACCACCAAGCAGAGTTCATTACTACAAGCTGTGGGTATAAGTCATATTATCAGCTCCTGGTTGGATAATAGGCTGTCACATGGTACTGCTGAGTGTTGGGTTTTTTCTGCCTCCTTGGTTCACCCAGATGTGTTTCCTCTGCTGGTCGTCTGAGAGAAAGAAACTAATTTTTTGGTTTTCATTAAGTTTCTATAGCAAAAGAGCCACAGTACTGACCTGTCTCAAGTTTAGACATTTCACTTTGTCCTTGACCAAGGAAAGCTCCCATACACACACAACTGAGCTTGTTCCAGATGTGATTACGGTAGTTGCTGAAGGACACACAGCGCAGAGGCACTTTCCCCAGTCCGCCATGCACTCAAATGTTGTCACGTTCTGTACAGGAAAGCAGCTTTAAGTCAAATACTAATCTGGTGATATCGTGCATTTATTAATACCAAATGACAGATTCAACTATCAGAACTGAGCCTCCGTTTCGCCAAATGCAGGAAAGAAAAGCTGATCTTAACCAGTCTCTATGCTTACAACACAGTTGCACAATATGTGCTCACATAGACTGTGGCTGCATGCAGCTGTGCTATCCTCCAGGGGCCAAACTGGAAGGCTGGACAAAGGTCAGTGTCTTATGTCTCCTGTGCCACAGACTTGCTACATAACTTCAGACGAACCTATTCTGTCACCATATAGTGACAGAATGCAAACATTCAGTGTAGATTGAAAAGAAAGCTCAGACTGTGATGGCCATTGCTAACAGAGTTAGTGCCAAGCTCTGTAATCCTGCTTTTACTTGGATTGAGAAGCCAAAAGCCAAAGAACTAAATTCCATTCTGTGCCAATGGCTGTTAGCAGCACCCTGACCAGCCTAAACCAAGGTCACATCTATTAATTATAGCACATCCTTCTGCTTACATTATGCATTAGCTCTCTCCCACACAATGGGACAACAATATGGTGCTAATGATTCTGGTGGAGCTGGATGGCACAGCTCAAAACCCATACCACTGACAGAACAAACCTTTAAGTACTTACAACGGGGACAAAAATTTCCTTGAAGTTCGCATCCAGAGGCATTGTTGACCCAGAGAGAACTCCAGTTGTACTCCCAACTACTTCTCATAGTGAGTGTGCAATCACACTCACTATGCTCAGTGTCACTAGGCTAAGTGACATCCTGACTTTTGAAGAGACAAACCACATAATTTATACCTACAGCAGCACTATGAATTGCTAAGCACTCATTTGAATTGAAATCAATGGAGAAAACTCTCAATAATTTTAAACAGGGAGCAGAAAGTAAAATACAACTCATGGCTTTTTCACTTCCATTGGCTGGGGGCATGTCTGTCAAAACATAATGATGTGGCTTGCACAAATACCTGTCAGTATCTTGCTGATTGATGTATTCTACCATTCTGGCACCCAAGGTAACTCAGATGCCTCTGAGTGTCATAACATTGTCCCAAACACATCTAAAAATTGATGTGTTTGTGGTAGAGGAAGAAACTGGATCTGTCAAGTGCAGTTCTAACAAGCAGTGTGATGACATAGACCATTGATTTTTAATAGTAAAGAAGTAAGGGTATTAACTTTCTAGAATAGAATACATTATTATTTTGAATGAATGGGCTAAGCTTGGGAGCCAGAGTGGAATTGACAGATGGTCTTCTTTTAATTCCAGCAGAAAGTTCTGCACAATGAAATTTCTAATCAGTGGTCAGGAGACCTTGTATTGTCCTTACAACCCATGAAATGTGGTTTCTCCTTCATTTTAACAGACAACACAGTCACTGGAAGGAAAACTCGAGATATTTTAGAGAGGAAATCCCACATTTTTCAGCAGTGTAGAATGACTTTGTACTGTGGTGGGATATCCAACTTGACATTCCTCAAGAAGCTTGACTGTGAGAAAGGTCTGTACAGCATCCTCTGAAATCCGCTCCCGAACAGCCTCTGAAATGGGTGCCCAAACCAGCCAAAGACCACACATATAATTAATTTCTGGAATGCTTAAACTTTTTCATATTTACCTTCTCAGACCCATAGTTGCCAAAGCAGCAGGTGAAGTCCTCAAATCCCCAGCAGAATGTTTTGCTCCAAAAAGGGGGCATCAAAACTTTTTTTTTTTCAACAGCCAGAATGCCTTTTTCAGTATGAACAATGTGCCCAATAGCTCCCTTGGGATAGTCTGATAAAACAGAGATTATATTTAATTCTGTTGTTTTTGCAGATCTTACATTAACTTTCCTCCTTGCACAGCTTGTGTGGTGAGGCTGGCAAGTCCCACAGCTGGGCTCAGTGCTGTGCCCAGGCCCACAGACAGGATTTCACTCTACAACTGATATTCCAAGCAGAATAGTGGAAACACTCCTTTCCAATGGACCACATAAATCCATGCAGAGGGAGTGATGTGCTCCAGAGGAGGGCGTTTAACAGCAGTGTCATTAAGCTCCTTTTCATTGGCAGACTGCCTTATGCCATGCACTACAGAGGATGTCAGGCATGTCACCAACACCAGCTGTAGTACAGTTAAAGGAGCCCACTGTCCCCACAAAGATGTGTGATATAAAGAACATCATTGTGGGGTGAAAAGTAGACATACTGAAATTTTCCAGGCTTCTTCGTGGTAAGAAAAGTGACAGACTAAGAAAAAGATAAAGAAAAAGAAAAGATTTGAAGATCGAGAAGTGGAGAAAGACAGTATTTGCTTTGCTGTTGAACATAAGAAGAGAGAATGAGAATGGAAAACAGTGAGCTTCATATTTCAATTTAACATATTCTGAATGTAGAAGAGAAAAAAGATTTAGGTGTCTTACAAAAAAAAAAATCTGTTCTGAACCCTACAACAGAAGTTTCAAGACTTTTCCTATTTGAGTGTTTTCAATGCCCACTCACAATACACACATACATAAACAACAATTGGCAGAAGAGATCCTGATTGTACCAATTCATACGAAGATGTGTGACTACTTCTGTGCTCTTGAAAATGCAGATTCACCCCATCCAAGAATTGTGCATTTATTAGCTCAAAAAATGGAGCACAGCCCCTAGAGCACCTTTTATTGTAACTGGTGAGAGCTTCAGGTTTTGCAGGCTACTCATAAAAGGAGGAAGAATTCCACCTGAGTGAAG